AACTTCTTCCCTCCTTGGGCGACTGGGAAGGCTCCAATGATATCAACCCCGAATCTAGCGAATGGGATGACATTCGATACGGGGTGGTAGTAGGTCGCCGGTCTACCGGGATACTTATAGAATACTTGGCACGTCCTGCATTTCTGGACGTACCTTTCACAATCCTGTACAATTGTTGGCCAGTAATACCCCAACAAGATGATGCGCTGGGAAAGCGTACGGGACATTTGATGCGCCGCGCATACGCCTTCGTGGACCTCCGCTATGACTCGCTCAGCCTCCCGGTTGGTTAGACATCTCAGGAGTGGCCCCCCAAATGCCCTTTTATACAGCTTTCCATCAAGAATCTGAAATCGGGGTGCCCTGAGCTTCACTTTTCTTGCCCGGTCATCTTGTTCTGGCAAGCTCCCATCCGTCAAATATTCCATCAGATCATACATCCAATGGTCGTCCGCCCCGACCAAGTTTGACCGGTCAAACTGGCTTCCGACCGTTATAGCGGCGACTTCCAATTTCTCGATGCTTGCACGGTCAAGGATCTCTACCCGGGCAAGTTTCGAAACATGCTCGGGAGCATACTGCGTCAATTTGGAGAGAAGGTCTGCATCAGCGTTCTCCGCCCAGGGAATCTGGGCGATCTTGAATTCTTCGAAGCCCTTCAACAGGGCAAGTACAAGGTCCTTGTATTGTGCCATGCGTCCTTCCCTTGCTTCCATGTTACCGGTCACCTGCCCTACTATCAGGCTAGAGTCAGATTTGATACTGACCCGGCTGATTTTCAGGGCTTGGGCAAGTCTGAGCTCTCCAGCCAGAGCTTCATATTCTGCCTCATTGTTCGTCAGCTTGAAGTTGAAGACGATTGCATGGTAGATCTTGAACCCTTCTGGGGTGGTGAACACGATACCACCCCCGTATCCTCTAGGACCGGATGCCCCGTTAACTGCCATCTCCCACCATTGCTCAGTGGGCTTGTTGACCGGTAAGTCTGGAGTTAGACCGGTCATTTCTACTAGGAAGTCCGCAAGGGCCTGTCCCTTGATTGCTGACCTTGGCCGGTACTCAATATTGAATTGAGTTAACATCATTGCCCACTTCACCATCCTCCCGGAGGATGTTGAATTTCGCAACACTGCACTTAGCGGTTGGTCAGTTAAGACTTCTACCGGGTGAGCTTGGAAGTAGGATGTTAACTTTTTTGCGGAGGTGAAAAGCGCATAGGCTGTCTTTTCCATCGCCGTATATCTACTCTCAGCCCCGTTTAGTGCTTTGCTCACATAATAAATGGGCTTTTGTGCCCCATCATCTCTTATTAAAACGGAGCTTACAACGTTTGGGGAAATTCCCAGGTACAGATACAGAGTTTCACCCGGTTCGGGTTTAGACTATACAATATCCGACGCTAGGTACTCTTTCAGCTCCTCGAATGCCCTCCGACATTCTTCGTCCCATGCGAATGTGTTGGCCTTCTTAAGAACATTGAAGAAGGGCAGGGATCTCTCAGCTCACCGGGAAAGGAACCGGCTGAGGGCCGCTAAACGACCGGTCAACTTCTGAACATCCCTTACGGAGGTAGGGGCCTGCATTTCAGTGATAGCCCGGATTTTTTCTGGGTTGGGCTCTATTCCTCTCTTGGTCACCATGAATCCTAAGAACTTCCCGGTACGAACCGCGAAGACGCATTTCTTAGGATTCAGCCGGAGGTTGTACCTTGCCATGACATCGAACGTGGCTCGCATATCAGCCGGGTGGTTCAGAGATACCTGGCTTTTGATCAGCATGTCGTCGACGTATGCCTCCATGGTCTTTCCCAGTAGTGGTTTGAAGAGCTTGTTCACCATGCGCTGGTAGGTTGCCCCCGAGTTTTTCAAGCCAAACGCCATTACCCGATAGCAGTAGGTTCCTTCGGGTGTGAGGAATGACGTCTTTTCCTCATCCTCCTTGGCCATGTAGATTTGGTGGTAACCCTTGAAGGCATCCCTGAAACTTAGGAGTTCGCACCCTGCAGTTTCGTCCACCATTTGATCTGGACTGGGGAGGGGGTATGAATCCATCGGACAAGCCTTGTTCAAGTCCGTATAATCCACACACATTCTCCACGTGTCGCCCTTGGGAGCGAGGACAACGTTGGCCATCCAATCCGAGTACTTGACTTCCTGGATGTGACCAACACTGAGAAGGTCTTTCACTTCCTTCTTGACGAAGTCTCGCCGGTCACTGGCCAGGTACCGCTTCTTTTGGCGTACCGGTCGACTTCCTTCCCTCACGGCCAACCGGTGGCAGATAACAGAGCGATCTATCCCGGGCATATCCGCCACGCTCCATGCGAATATGCCCGCGTATTCTTGGAGGACCCGGGTAATCTGCTCCTTGAGATCCTCGGGGAGATTTGCTCCAATTCTGACCATCCTCGAAGAATCACCCGGGTAAAGTTCGATTTCCACCGTCTCGGCCTCGGGCTCCAATTTCTCCCGGGTCTCTCCCTTTGTGATTTCTTGGGAGATGACATTGACCCCCTTGGTCATCTTCTTGACTGCCCGGGCATAGCACTCCCGGGCGTTCCTCTGGTCGCCCTTCACCTCACTCACACCACCTGGAGTGTGGAACTTCATGCATAGATGAGGCATGGAAATCACCGCCCCGACTTTATTGATGCCTGGCCTTCCAAGAATTGCGTTGTGGACGCATTTGATGTCCACAACTATGAACTGCATCTTCTTCCACACGATCTTTTCACCTGATCCTAGTTCGATCGGTAGAACTATGGATCCTTCAGCTTCAACGGTGTCCCCCGTGAAGCTTGAGAGAGGGGTTTTGAGGGGTTCAAGTTGTGTTCGGCACAACCTGAGTTTCTGGAAGGTCTCCAGGTATAAGATGTTGACACTGCTACCGGTGTCAACAAGTACCCGGGCGACATCCACCCCCTTAATGTCCATGGTGATGACCCATGGATCATTGTGATCTTCACCGGTAGGAGGGAGATCCCGGTCAGTAAAGACGATAGGCTCCCTCCTAGTATGCTTACACCTGGGCGGTTCAGCACTTACCTCTCCAACGTAAATGCTCCGGACCTAGTTCTTCCGCTGCGCGGCTGAATCTCCACCCTCGGGTCCGCCGAAGATCATGCCGATGTGTTCCTTTTCGGGGGCAGGTTGCCGCTCCCTTGGCTGGTTATTCCTCCGTCGGTCGTTGTCCCGGTCATTCCCTGGGGCAGTTGGCCTAACCCATTGATGACTCTTCTCCTGGGCTTTCTGCAAGTAATCTTTGCCCAGCTCTCCACTGTCGATCATCTGCCGGATTACTCCCTTAACACTTTTGCATTCGGAGGTGTTATGGGAATCTGACCTGTGGTACGAACAATAGGTGCCTGACCACTGCCGCCCTACTTGACCGGTAGGGTTTTCTGGAGGAATGACCGGTTCTTTCCGGACTTCTTGGCATTCCTCCGTATTGACCAATCGGATGACCGGGTCATAGTGGTGCCTCGGCCGGCTAGGTCCCGGTGCTTCTTCCTTCTTGACTTGCACCGGCTTGGACTTGTGACCATGCTCAGCCTCTCTCTTTGCCCGGAGCTGGGTTTCAGCTTCAACAAACTCCCATGCGGTGTGGTAGGCCTCTTGGTACGTGGCTGGGGGCTTCCGGCAGAACTCCTTGTATAATTCCCCAGCACGCAAGCCATTTAAGAGGAGGGAGAGGACGGTCTTGTCATCCATCTCTTCCACCTTTTCCACCTCTTCCTTCCACCGGGTAAGGAACTGAGTAAGGTTCTCAGACTCCCTCTGCCCGGCTGTACTAAGATAGGTGAATTTCTTCCTCTTAGTACACTTCTCCTGGAACTTGGCCTTGAACTTTGAGGCAAAATCATTGAACGAGTCAATGCTTCCCGGGCGAAGCTTATTGAATAATTCAGTGGCTCGGTTCCGCAAGGTCTGGAAGAAAAGAAGGCACTTTTCTTCATCGGTGCAACCGTTCATGGTCGCACTCTGGTTGAAGGAGTCCAAATGGATTTCCGGATCTTCCTTCCCAGTGAATCTGGGGGCATCGATCTTAACCTTTCGCGGGAAAGGTGTCAGATGGACCCTTGCGGTGAACGGGGACCCTGCCAGGGGTTTGTCCCGGTCATTCTTCTCCCCGACCTTCTTTTCCAGCCTTTCCAGCTTTGCCTCCATCTGCTGGACGCGGTCGTTTGGGATGGTTAACCGGTTCGCCACCGGTAACCTGGGCTGGCTTTCTGCCTCCCCTTCCTGGTGGGAGGCCCTTGTCCTCGCTGGCTCCTGCCGGTTAGACCGGGAGCACCGGGTGTGGGCAGGCTCGGCCTCCCGCACCTCGCCTAGCCGGGCGAATGCGCTGACATGGGCAACACTTTGCCCCAGCCTCTGCTTGGCTGACTTCCTCTGGCCTTCCTCCCTATCCCCCAGCCTTTCGAAGGCGGAGTTTCGGGAGGTCGCTGGCCGGATGTTTTTTCCTTGCTTCTTCTTGTGGGCCCTCGGGATGTCCCACTCGCCGTCATCGCTCTCAATTGAGACACAATGACCGTCAGGAGTGATCTGCGGATTCGTAGCTTGCGGGGGACGCGACGGCCCTGCAGCGTTAAGTGCACCGGCCAAGTTGATAGGGGCCATGGTGCTGACCAGCTGGGGCTGGAAAGGTGATGGTTGCGGCATCGGCGTCTGGAACGACGTCACCGCCATCGGAGCTTGTAGGGGCAATGTCCCCGCGCTTGGAAGGGCGAATGGGAACATACCAGGGAGGAAAGGCATCCCCCCGCTCTGCTGGCACATGGCCATGACCTGGCCAAAGCCCTGGATGGCTTGTAGGTTGGCTGGGTCGTTCAAGAACTGAGCCATGCTTGGTGGGAACGTGACCCTTGGTCCAGCGGAAGGGACAGGGGTCGCGAAGGGACTGATCACGCTGGCCGTCGGGACAGAGCTCAGACCTAGAGGCAACACCGGGGCTGAAATGACCGGTATGGTAGCAGCCACAGGGATGCTGGCGCCCTCATTGGTGGCTTGCACCTGTGCGGAAGTAGCGTTGATTTGTTGGCTGGAAGACATTTCGAGTGGTGTTTTGGTGGGTAGGTTTGTGTTTAGGAGAAGAAACCTTAACGGTCCCACGGGTGGCGCCAAAAATGATGGTGTAAATTACTTGACCGGACAAACTATACTAGACCGGGTCTAGAATAGTTTGCTTGATTTGGCAAAGTAAGAAAGGTAAAAACACGCAAATTGACCGGTAGGACTTTAGGTGGAACACCTGTAGCCCGATTTATATTATAACAGAGAATGCACGGGTGCTTTTACAAGGGAGTTTAGAGAGAATGAATTCGGATCCCTCTTTCTGAGGTTTACATGAGTATTTATACTAGGCTAAGGGGACAGGGCCACGTGCGCCCACGTGGGGGCATGCTGCTGATGTGGTGCGAGGTGACTGGTTTCGTCCTCGAGCTGCCTTGTCGCCTTGTGAGGGGGATCATTCCCTTTGTCGAGTAGTGCCTTGGATGGATTCTTCAGCATCTCCAGTTGTCCTCTACTGACACGGGTCGCTACACGCCAAGCCCTCGCAGATCCTCTTCTGCCGACACTTTCCAACCCCAGAAACTACACCGGGTAATCTCCGAGGGGTGAATTGATCGAAGTCTGGAATAAATAGGATGATAACGTAGTTTGACCGGTATACTCTTTTGTGAAGTGTACCGGTCATATTTTGGCCGATGATATATCGTTTTGCTGACGATTTAAGCCTCCCTTCCAAAACATTCGAGATTGACCGGTCAAAGATTTGGCCTTCTCCTTTGACCGGTCTTGGGTGAAATACACCCATCAATCAAAGTAAGAAATTCTTTTTGGGACGGAGAAAGTATGAGGCAATATATTTGAATTGTTTTATTTTGAAGATTTGATCAAACGGATTAGGGTGTTACACAACCTATATGATTAAATTGTTTTATTTTGAAGATTTGATCTGATCTTAATATATTTGAATTTGAATTTGATCTGATCAGATCTATTTTGGTCTGATTCAATCTAATTAGATCTTATATGATGCATTTAAGGATTAGATCAGGCAAATATGACATGACCTATACAATTAAAATTGATTTTTTTAAATATTTGATTTGATCTTACTAGATTTGAATTTGGGTTGATTCGATATTTTTTTTTGAAGATTATATCTGATCTTATTGGATTTGAATTTAATTTGATTTGATCTCTTTTGGTCTAATTCAATCTAATTTGATCTGATCTGATGCATTTATAGATTAAATCAGGCAAACAAGACACGACCTATATAATTAATTAGATGAAATCAGACCAAAACAGATCTAATCAGATCAAATCAAATTGAAATCCAATAAGATGAGATCTACAATCATATTTTCCAGATATAATCTTCAAATGCATGACTACAATCATATTCAATTCAAAAGGTACAATTTTTCAATCCAAAATAAAACTACATATAACTACAATCATACTAAATCAGATTATATTTAATCAAATCAGATCTCATCAGATCTGTTGTGATTATGTAATAAGAGACGACCAAATATCAGAAACACTAAATATGAGGATGTGTTCCGTCCTCCTATTTTATATCTCTCCAAACAACTTTGTTTCAGATTTCAAAACTCGTATTATTTGTAACGCCCCAGAACATACCTTAAAATTATTATTGAATTATTATTCAATTAATTAAATTTGTTTTAATTAAAATAAATTATTTTTGGCCTTTGGGGTGAAATAAAATATATTTTAATATCTAATATCACAATCTAGATACATACCCAAATTAAGAATAAATAAAGATCCAAATTAAGAATAAATAAAGAATTTATTTATGATATGAATTTTGGAATGATTTATTGAGATCTAAACGGATTAGGGTGTAACATTATTTCTCCTAGATTGTAAAACTCATATCTTATATCACCATCAAACCACACCAAACACGCCCAATTTCCCTTTTCACTTTTAGAAACTTGCACTCACGAGGGTTGCTGGATCTTGATTTTGCTGAATTAAAGACAACCTTAATAGATTGATCTGTGCTAATTAATCAAAAGAATTAAGGCGGACTAGGTGGAACTTATAAATATTTATTGATTGATTATAAAAATTAAATCGTTGGGTAGGGACCGACCAATCGAATCCAACGATGCAAACGAATCTTAATTCGGAGCAAGTTAGCACGAAAAGTGTGTTTCACTCAGACACATTATTTTAAATTTCGAAGTACAAAACCCTAGGGTATATAAATGATTTTTAGCCTCTTCTTTTTCCTTCTCCCCGATCAAAGAATTCCGCCGCCCCTCTCTTCTCCTATCCCTACGATGACCTTCTTCACCAATACTCCCCAATCGGCGACGAGAGCAGCAGCGACAGAAATCCCCGGCGACCCTCAGCGAACGCAGCGATGCAAACGCACAGCGGCGAAATTTCGGCAATTTGGCATATACGGTGACAGAGGCAGCAACCGGCGGTGACAAGGAATGACCTCCACTATTCTGGCGATGTACTCGAGTAGAAGAACGCAACGGTTGTTGAACACATTTTGCCGATTCACCCCTTGTTCTTCTATTTCTTATTTCGTTGCTATTTTCTTGTGATTTTTTGAGATTTGGGCTTGTCTCAAGCAAATGCTGTTGACTTTAAACTCAATTTTCCTATTTTGCAGCTGGACTTTGGCGAATTGAAGGTTCGTGGTCCTTGTTCATTCGGTGACCATGGACATCGGTTTTCACTTTGATTTATGATCAATCGAAGGCCAATTTCTGGGGGTTTATGAGCGACCTGGGTTGTTTGTTCAAGGCCTAAAGTTGGATTGCAATTCCATACGAAGACGCTTTCGATTTGAGCAATGTTTCTGAATTCGGCGCACTGTTCACAGTGAGCGTTGAAGTCTAGAATTGGCCAGGTTAGAGCATTCATTCTTTTTATTTTTGGAGGTTGATCTAGAATTATGACTAGGGCAATTACAATAGTGTAGCTGAGGATCGGACAATGGTGAAGCTGAGGTTGTTGTGGCTTACGTACATGCTCGACTTTTGCACGAATGTGAATAATAAGGAGTTTGGGTTTTAGGTTAAGTTTGGCTTTGTTTTCACATAATGATGAAATCAACATAATTGTTATCGTGGTTGTTTTTAGGCAAACAAGAGCTTTTCTCATTAGGCTTTTCTTAATGCAGCATACATATTACAAGTAAATGTGTGCATTTTGAGATTTTAAGGTCATGTGTGTGTTTTAGCATACTCATAGGTAATATCTTCTATTGTAAATTTCACAGGCCATAACCTCATTATGGTCAAAGAAAGGAGATTGATTTGTGGCTGATCTTAATATTAAGCTTAAGAGCAAGTAGATTACCACAGATATCAAAGTTGATAGCAACTCAAATGTGAGTCTCTCCTTATACATTTAATTCACATATATATAATACATGTATCGCTTAGCATGGACCAGGAACAGTTGATTACACACATTTACTCTAATTGCTCCTGCAAGTCAATTTCATCAAAATGAGATTTTCTATAGTGCATTGTCTTTTTATGCGGAAGGGGCATAGCCTTTTAATTGCGTTACATAAAAAGAGGTAGTAATCAAATGTCTAGAATGTACTCTAATTGCTTTTGCAAGTCAATTTCATTGCCTTTCAACGTCTGCAATGTCTCTTTTCAAAACAATCTGCCCATCACCTCGGGTTCCATGTGAGTTTTTTTGTTTCTTTCCTCTATTAGGTTAATCTTTTGGTGATTCAACTCACTATAGGCCTGTATATGTTTCGCTTGCAGATTATCATGGTCACAACGACGTCAAGAATTGAAGGTTTGTATTCCCATGGTTCAATGTTGGATGTTATTGAGAGGCCAAATAACTAAATTAGGCATGCTCAATGGACAACTAGAATGTAATTTTAATTATGTAAATATTAAATTATTGGATGCTATTAAGATTTTGGATTGTATGTATTTAGATATTATTCAATATATTGTACATTTTGGAATTTATTTTTGTTTCATGATCAATATTTTAATTATTAAATATAATTGTAAATTAAAATACAGTAGTCTTTCAAAAAGCTTTACAATGTATTTAAACAGTTTTCTAAATTATTAAAGGATGACTACACAAACCTGTATTGTTAATAAACGTTAGACAATTTAAACAAACAGTTGTATGAAATACAACAAATAAGGTTGTTTACATTTTAAAAATACAACACATAATAGCAGTTGTTTTATGCAAACATACTTAGTTGTCTTCGACGTAGTAGTCTGATTTATAATCTGACTAGTGTGTAAAATGATAGTTTGAATATTTCAAGGACAACTACAAAAGAGCGTAGTGTTATTGAGCACTATACAACTGAAAGAAACGGTTGTTTAAAATATAGCAAATTTAGTAATCCATATTCTAAAAATACAACAAAAAATAACAGTTGTCTCATCCTATTTTTGTTTAGTAGTCTTCCGAGCAGCAGTCTGATAAATTTTTCAATTACTTTTTAAAGTAGTTGTCTATATTGTTGAACGACAACACCAAGAATTAGGGGTCTGAAGTTAAAAACAACAGTAGTATTCATTATAGATAGACAAGAAAAAATCACACTTCTCTTTAACTCTAAAAAAACAGATGTCTTACTCATACGGGGACAACACTAAAAAGTGGTACTCTAAAACATTACAAAACAGGTGTTGTCAACAAGTTTAGACAATTGTTTTTAAACAATAGTCTGTAAATATATCAGACAGCTGCTCGGAAGACTACTGAAATCAGCACCGAGAGACTACTAAAAGAAACAGTTGTCAGCATCTGTTTTTGACGTAGTGTCAGGTTTTAGAGATATATATATCACGATTATGGGAAGAGTATCTAACATTCTGACATTATGGAAGGAACTTCTCGAGCTCTTTCTTATACCATAAGATTCGTTGGTCTACTTGGCAGTCATTCTCTTGGTAGAAATCCAAAGCTTATGGCTACTGCAGTAGATTTAGGAAGAGAATTGATAAGGCGAAGAATTAGTCTTGCTTATGGAGGAGGCAATGTTGGTCTACAAGGAACTGTTGCTTCAATAGTATTTACCAATGGTAGTCTTGTTAGAGGTTTCATTCCTAGGTACCTAGCAACACGAAGGGTCTACGGACCTACATATGGCGTAGAGCACACAGTTTCCAGCAATTACTACAAATATTTTGAGATGAATTATGTCGTGGAAGCTTTCATCGTTCTTCCCGGAG